GCATGTGGAAAGCCCAAAGTTGTTTGGTTTTTTTAATTTTATGATGAGGTAGGAAGAGTACAATCGTTCAAAAACATCTACCTAACTGCTTTTCTTCTACTACTACAAAAAATGTTCCATCCAATATGCATACTTTTATGCTCAGAAATCCTTTCCACGCTTTCTTTAGCACAAGTGGCTTCTAACCGCACATTTCTGTAGGAAAAAAAAGAAAAATTATTATGATAGAAGAGTCTTCAAGTGAGCTTCAAAGATTTTGTCTGCATGGTTGAATTACAGAAATAATAATAAAATCTGTATTAAAATTCCTGTTAAACAATTTTTTTTGAAATCACTCATTTTTTCATGAAAATAGCCTCTAACAATCTGAAATTCGCCAACAACAAATTCATTGGTATTCAGTAGTATAATTTAGAACACTGATGTTTATTATTTAACTTCCTTTTTTTGAAGTAAATAAAGGACATACAGAATGACAACCATTTTGTGGTTACAGATTACATAGAAGAGTGTGCCAAGAGCTCTCCTGTAGATTATTTCTGGTACAGAGAAACATTAAACATCTCCGCTTCCATTAACGATTCAGGCACTATACAGTGGTGGCTTTTGTTATGTTTAACATGCGCATGGGGTGTACTGTATGTGTGCACAATCAGAGGCATCGAAACAACAGGAAAGGTACTCTATTTTGGTTTTCTACGAGACAATATTCATTATGCTGTTGTGACTCCTTATTCATATAGACTTAATCATACTGCAGAAACTGCCTGTTTCTTCAGTAAAACCATGTCTAAAACTTCCTGTGTCATCACTGGGGCTGCTTTTTGAAGAAGGAAGCTGAATAAAATGAAATTTGATTTGATTTGATTTGATCTGATTTATGTGATTTTTGTGAGCAATTCAGCTTCCTTGTCCTTATAGGTCCTAGTAAAACATTCTTTAGGTATTACCACCTTAACATTAATATTAACCTTTAATGCAGGATCAAGAAACTTTTTGCTATGGCCATTCTCTTCAAAACATACATGTACAGATTTATTTGGGTTTGTGCTAGCCCTTAATATTATTTCCTCAAAAGAGTGACCAACGTTCTGCTGCCCAGCAAAGCCCTGAGAGCCCATCCTTGCATCGGCAGCATCAACCTGATCTCAGGGTGTAGATTATTTTTTATGCTGCTTTTGAATGATCTGAGTTGAATTTCAACAATGTCAATTTGTCTTAAATAGAGCACTGTAACTGTAAAAATGTTTATTATCAAAATGTACTGCATATACTGTTTCTCTTAAACATAGTTTTCTGTCGTATTTTAACTGTGACTCACTTGAAACTTGCCATTAGTCACAGTATCTTGTTTATTCCTGTCTTTTCTTCCCTGCAGTGCTATTTTTAGTCAAGTGTTCTGTTTTATTTAAGTGTTTTATTTACGTGCTTCTTGTGCAGGCCGTGTATGTCACATCAACTCTTCCATACCTTGTGCTTACCATTTTTCTAATCCGTGGCTTGACGCTGAAAGGATCAACGAGTGGAATTGTGTATCTCTTCACCCCTAATGTAAGTCATGGTGTGGATCGTCCCTTAATGAAACACCACGTAGTTCTCTCTGTAATTAACAACCAATTGAAAATTATTCCCCTATGTTTGTGCTTTTCTAAATATCCCTCAGACACCTTTAAAATCTTGATTCTAGGAGGTGAATCCTTTGCATTGGTTGTAAAAAGTATACATATATACACACATTCTCTCTCTCTCTCCCCCTCTCTCCACCTCCCATCAAAATCTATTACAAAAAAATGAAAGGATCATCACAGAGCAGTGCAATGGGGTTGCCATAAGGGGGGTTGCTTTCTTTTTCTGCATTCTAGTTAAGGACAAACCTAACTTTAAAGCACAAATTGTGCAGTTGGGAGTAGAACCCATCTAATCAGCATGGCTATATGGACAAAAGACCAAAGAGAATGCTTTAACTACACAATAGTTTTTAAACAAAATTAAAAGGGGTTTCATTTTCCATGAGAAAACTTCTGAATAGTCATTATTAATGATAAATAATAAATACCTTTTCTGGAAACAGTCATGGCAACTGTCAGCTGTGGAAAGTACTTTGTTTATCGATTTTCAAAATACTTGTATACAACCTGCAGATAGGTTTTCTTTTTGAAAATAAAAGTAAGTTTGACAAAAGTATTGACCTATTTGTTCACATTCTTCAAAAATGGTGAGTTCTCCATGGTTAATGTTCTTGTTTTAATTGCTGTTTTAAATCCCTCGTATTCTGTCTAAATAGCAATGTTGCATATCCTTAAAGCTGTATGTCTGATGCCTCAGGTTACCGAGCTGGCTAACCCAGTGACGTGGCTGGATGCAGGTGCTCAGGTGTTTTACTCTTTCTCCCTAGCCTTTGGAGGCCTCATTTCATTCTCCAGTTACAACTCTGTTCAGTAAGTAGCCAGGCAAAAGCCAAATTTTATATTAATATTTCATTCTTTCAAATGAAACATGTCCACTTTTGCCCTATCATTATGCTACTTGGGACCAGGACACCATCCCCCCAGCCATGGAGGGGACATCACCTCTGACTGATCCTAGCTCTCCCGAGCCAAGATTTCAGGTCCCAGTGCTGGCTGACTTTGTGTAGAAAGATGTGGTGGCACAGCCTAGAAAGAAGGGGACTGGTTGCCCACCACCAGCTGATGAGCAGGAGCTTCCTTTGCAAGAGGGCTCGTTGCACGGTGATGCCCTTTGTCTCCGCACTGTCGGAGCTGGGTGATGTACACACATTTCAAAGCAATTCACAGACCACAGCTTAAATCTTTAGCTTAGAGGTGAGATGATATGTCAAGAACTTTTGAAATTGAAATTCAATTCCTTTCTTTATATATGTAATGGGGCCCAGGAAGAGATGTAGTATGAACTCCCATCAGCCAGAGACTGACCCAGTCTGCAAATTACGACACGATGCTTTATTCTGCACTTTTCCTCACAAAATACTGGAGCAACCACCAATGTCTCTTGGTGCCTTCCATCCCTTCAGCACCGTCCTCTTGAAAGACAAACTGTGTAGCATTCTCTGAACCTATTATTTTTGATAAACATCTCCAAATTAAGTTTTGGATTTCTGGTTTGGTCATGCATTCAGAAATCTATGTTTTGGGTTTGGCTCAGGTTTAACCACACCACACCACGCCACACCACACCAGCATTTCAGTCACTGGATGCAATTCCATGCCACCAGTCTTGATTTCAGATGTTTTTCAAAAGATCATCTGGAACTTTTGGTGCCTGCGGGTCTCGGTGCGAGGTGACAAGCCCCGCTTCAGGTCCAAGTCAATGTCCCACAACCACGGGGACCAGGGCTGAGAGTGTTCTGCAGCTTCCCAAAAGACACAAAGAAAAGGAGCAGTGTCCTCCTGCTTTTCCAACACAGAGGGCTTTGGAACCAGACCATGCTCCTTCAATTCGCAATCATTCATGACTTAAGGAGGAAATGGCAGAAAGTCATGAAATTCCTGTGGAGATATAACAAAAAATCCCAAGCAGATTTGGCAATGTTACACTGTGATGTTGGGCCACCTGCAGTCCAGCACCAGCTGGGAGTATAAACATCTCAGGAAATACCATGGGGTTTCAATGCCATCAGGGATTCGCTCATTCATAACAAGGAGGAGCCTAAGCATCTTCCTTTCTCTGAAAGGAAGAAATATTTTTATCAAGTCTGTGATTGAGAATTTCATGTTACAGTGAAAAAAAATGACATGAGAGTACAGCAAGGAATTTCTATTCAATGCCCTCCACCCAGCAGAGACCTATCTGCAATGCTATCCATGAGGAAAGGTCATAGTGTCACAGGTCTCGGCTGGAAAGGCTTGTCTTTCCTCTCCTCTCGAAGGTGAGTGGAAAATTAAATATGACAACATTAAGTTAATCTCAATAGTCCTCTCTTGCCCAAGAGAAATACGATATCTACAGCTTTACAGACTTCTCATAAAACTATTAACTAATTTAATATTGATTCTTTATCTTCTCCCTCAGATGAAAGTCTGTTTCTGGCTCTGCAATTTTTTCATCTTAGCGTAGATACACTGCCAAGAAGTGCCTGCAGCAGAGAAGTCTCTACAAAGCAGTCTAATTTTCACAAGGGAACAGCTTCTCTGTCCAACCTTAGCAGCATAACATTCCATCATATTTCCAAAACTTGAGGACGTTTTGAACCATCTTTTGGCCAACAGTCAAACAAAAATGTTCCCAAGTGCTCTTGGCTACTGCAATTTCACCGTACCGAAATGCTGTGGAAACTGTTGTTCACTTTTCCTTTCTGACTGTCTGGGTTCAAACCCAATTCTTTCGCCTTGCAGCAGGCTACCCCAGCAGCTAAGACAGAGCCTGTGGCAATGAGCGTCTGCACACATGCATGCCGGGCATGGAAAGGAGACAGACTTTTTTGCCCCTCATGTTTTACTTTCCATGAACAAGGCATGGAAACAACTCAGACAGTTATTCCTTATGAATAGGATTATTTGAAGGGAAAAAAACCAAACCAAACCAAAACCATAGCTGTTACATTGCTTAAGGAACCAAGTTTTAATTCACTAAATGTACCTTTAACAGCTATACTCTTAGAGAGCATACTAATGTACCTATGCAACTGTAGACTACTTATTTGTTAGTCTTGGTAGCCAGTTTTTAGTATTTATTTTGGGAAAGTGTTTGAAATTCATGGTTTCTTCTCTTTGAATTGCAGCAATAACTGTGAGAAAGATGCTCTGATTATCTCAGTGATCAACGGTTTCACGTCCGTCTATGCAGCAACTGTCATATACTCCATCATTGGATTCAGAGCCACAGAAAGATATGATGACTGTTTTGACAAGTAAGCTATTGGAAAAAAAAACCCACAGAATATGCAAGTGTTTGTTTATCATTTCTGAGTAATTGCAGTGTTTGGCCCACATGGTATTGGACTGCTCATTACTTAAAAAAATTCAAATCATGTGGTATCAACCACATAGGACATGATAATTGTTTGAGCCACCTGATTTTCTGCATAAATTTTACATTATTCCTTGATCTTTCTGAAAAGAAACAAGGAAGAGGATATTCCATATTTTAACAGTTTTTGAAACAATTCTTTCAAATATAACTGCAGTTATTGTAACAATTTCTATTTACATAAAGGCTGATTCAGTTTGTGCTATCTTATTTCATTAAAACATGCTAGAATATCTATGGTTTTAGAGGTAAACATGAAAAATTAATCATTCGCAATAGTGCTATGAAACACCATGTTCTGAAGAAATGTATTTATTTAACTGCGTAGGGCAAAAGTTTCAATAAAACTAGTTCTGTGAAAAACTGGATTTTACATCACCTATTAAAAAAAAAGGAAAAGGATATTAGACTGCTGCAGCTACATCTACTAAGGCTGATGTCAAATCCTCAAAGGTCTCCTGATGTTCTTGGCCAAACTATGGAGTTCTGCCTTGGCGAACACCTGCAATAATCGACTGAAAGCACTGCCCATTTTAAGCAAGGTCCCAGTGGCCAGGCAGTTCTGACAGTTCTGCAGAGTCCTGGCCACAGCTGGGTCACACCGTAGGCACCACTCTGCATACATACATTGGGGAATCACCCAAATGAGTACATTAAATTCTTCCCATTTTAATTGATTAGACAAAGCTCCATCAACCACTGGAAAACGGTCTAGAAACTTTGCCAAAAAAAAAAAATAATAAATGCAGAATTCACAATAATTGATACCTACTGAGCTGACATATGGCATGAATGTAATATTCCCTAGTCCTTGTGTCAGCTCTGTATTTAGGTTGCCTCCTGGAGAGCTTAAATGCTTAGTTATCATCAGAGGCACCTAATTTTACCAGAGCAGTTCAGACTCCCTTCTAACCGGGGTTGCCCGACCCTGTGGGTTCCAGTGAAGTTCCTGCACATTCAGCTGTAAAAGTGCATGATACATAACTGCAGATGCACAACTTACACATTCCCAGAAGCTGCCCAGCCTGGGAACTGGTGCCCAGTCTGCAGTGCAAAGATGGGCACCCAACTTCTGCACAGGTCCCCAGAGTGTCCATCCATTTAGCTGTCATCCGTGCCATGAAAGACAGTATTGGACTCACCTTGGAAGAAAAAAGAAAGAACTGCACATGCAGAAAACTGCTGGACTTCCCAATTTCAAAATCTAATCTCGAGCAACAGAAATGTTGCTTCCTTCGTATGTTTATAAAAGACTTCGTGCTCTTAATAACTTGTTTGATGGTGAAAATGAATCCTGAAGATGCTTACAAACAAATAATTTCAAATGTCTTGTATTTCACTTTTTCAGAAATATTCTTACTCTGATGAATGCATTTGATTTGCCAGAGGGTAATGTAACCCAAGATAACTTTGAACAAATGCAGGAGCTATGTAACATGACTGATCCAACAATTTTTGCTAGCCTGAAGTTTGAATCCTGTAATCTGGAAAGTTTCCTGAATGACGTAAGTTTAACAACCTGACTCATATTGATACCATAAATATGGTAGGAATGCATAGCAATGTTTTAATTTCCTAATGCTTTTTCTTACAAGGTTATTGGTTTTTTTATATTTCCACTGATTGACTGCAATTGGCTTGAAATGCCCTTGGACTGAAGAAATACTTTTTTTTACCCCATTTTGCTTTTGAAGAGATAAACTGTTTAATTCCTCTGAAAAGTACTGGCAGTCTCTCAGATTAGTAGCTAAACCCACAAGTGTGGTAGGCTGGCCTCATGTAGCTGGCACATGTGTCACAACACAGAAAGAATGGACCTTGACACCAGGGTGAAAAAAGTTACAAGAAGAATTAAATGAGTGCATCTTTTTTTTTTGGTTAAAAAGGTGGTGAATCACAGATTAAAACAGGTGTCCATAAAATTCCATGAAATAGAATTGGTATTATAATTACAGTAAATATATTGCTGCATTAGGACGTCTTTATGGAAACAAAAAGCATAAGTATTGTGGTATGGTGTAGTGTACACCAAGTCTAGTCAACATCAATGTAAATTGAAGTGCTGCCCGATGTTAATGAATCTAATTTTGGAGCTTCTGAAATCTTCCACAGGGAGTTGAAGGAACTGGTCTAGCCTTTATTGTCTTCACTGAAGCTATCACCAAAATGCCTGTCTCACCTTTGTGGTCCATTCTCTTCTTCATCATGCTCTTCTGCTTGGGTTTGTCGTCTATGTTTGGAAATATGGAAGGTGTGCTTGTACCTTTACAAGATCTTAAGATGATACCCCCCAAAGTGCCTAAGGAACTTGTTACTGGTAAGTGCTTTTTAAGAGACAAGTGACTGCCCCCCTTCCGAAGGAATAGCTTGTATGCTGAAAAATCAACCCACCACCCATCTACTTTCTGACCTATCATGGTCCTAAGACTCCTTGATAACCTACTGAAGGTTTTCTCATGTCCCCCAACGGGGCAGCTCCTCTGAGGTTCCTCCAGAGCCTGCGGCCAGCTGCTCACCCCATGACTTGCCCGTCAGCTCGCTCATGGCGATGATCATCTCCCCCATTGGGAAGCTGGAGGACTCAAGCCCTTCACCCAGGCAGGATTTCTCTCAGTGCCATATTGTCCCACCAACTAGGAGGAGGAGGACCTGTTTTCTCTCCTCAGACTTCTCCGTTTTGCTTGCAGCATCTCCCACCTGTGCAATGTTAGGAGAGTTTTGCCACTTTACCTGCATAGAGGCAGGCCTTCTCAGGGCACCATTAAAAATAAAGCATTAAAAGTTACTTATAAAGCTTTCTAGCTACTGGGAAAATATCTTACTTCTTTTTCTTTAGCTTTCTTTGCCTAAATGTGCTGTTGTTTTGGTTTTTTCCACAGGTCTCATTTGTCTGGGGTCTTACTTGATAGCTTTTATTTTTGTGCTGAAGTCTGGTAATTACTGGCTGGCTCTATTTGACAGTTTTGCTGGCTCTATTCCCTTGCTAATAATTGCATTTTTTGAGATGTTTTCAGTCGTCTACATTTATGGAATAGACAGGTATGGAATACAAGTTAAACATTACTAGAAACTAGTACATAAATTGATTAGTTGTATAGCTGCAACCTTGCTACATCTCCGTGTGTAGAATTTCTGTTATAGAAATCACTGAAATTATGCAACTGTAGTTTAGGGTTGCTTATACGATTTAAGTTTCTAAAATAGTTCTCAACAAAAAGAAAAAATGCTTCTTAAGAGTGCAGTGGGGATTTTTACTTGTACATGAAAGCTTTCCACTCTGTTAATACATTGTAATAGATAATGCTCTATAACAACTAGCTAAAATAAACACAACCCTAAGATATTGCAAGAAAATATTAAGCATTAGCAAGTGTCCTAGAATATAATAATATGAGTGCAAATAGTTTGTTTTTAAAGTGGGCATCAGAATGTACATATTTGCAACAGTTACATAAGTGCCGCTATAGATCATTTACATTTTAAATATTGAGACATTTACAATAAATCTTCTTCAGGATAATTGCATTAAATAGTTAATTAGCAGAAGCAAAGTACAAGCACATTGGCACTGAGCTGAAAGTTTAAAATGGAAGTCTATCTCAGGAGTATTTAAAGTGAATATTAAATGATACTGTCCATAGCAGGGGTTTCCAGGCAGGCTGCAGATAATTGTTTTATAGCAGGATGAAAATCCAAGGCTACTGAGATACGTTCTTAGCTGATAGATTCAGGACTTTATCAGTTGTAGCAGTAAGGAATTATCCTAACAACTTTCTAGAGATGTAATAAAGCAAATTTTACCATCTTTCTGTTCATAATTAATACGTAAGAAATATGAAAAAAGAGTGAGGGACTTCCCTCATCCATAGGTTTTCTCGAACCTGTGCCAGACCCTTCAGCTGTGCTGCTCCTGGCGATGGGGTGAATGCCCTTGAGGCCCATCTTCCCATACGTAGAGTTTTATGTTACCTGAAGAGGCATGAATCAACTTAGGTGAATTAAACAAGCAGAGGGAGTACCCTGGAGAAAGAAGGCTTGTTTTAATTTGTTAAGGACAGAAAAGTCTGTGTTGATCACTTTTCCTTCCCTTTAAAATTTCAGAAGACTTTCAAAGTCAAATTAAGACTATTCTGAGGGCACAAACATGGGGTGAGGTCATAGAGTGTTGGGAATTGATTCAGAAAAGAGCTTCACACCAAACTTTCACGTTCCTGGCCAGTACACATCGCTGTAGTCCTTTTTGCGTAAAGAGCTTATCAGGGCTGCCCAAAGGTGATGTTATCTGCTCCAGATGAGTTTCTGAGAAAGGGTCATTGTTAAAAAGATGGCTCTCCTGCCTGAAGGAGAACTGCGTGTTATCCACGACACTCACATGAACTACAGCCGGACACGCTCTGTGGCAGGGACGTGGGGTTCCATATAATTTTAAGAATATTACCTAGATCTTAGAAGTTAAGGATAAAAAGATAAAATAAATTTACATAGTAATTGAGACTCAGCTGAATTCTGTGTGGTGTTTGTAGCTGCAGAACCAACTGAATAGCCCTCTCAGATTTATCCCCATAGGATACGCAGGAAAGCCAGACAAGAGGACTAACAACAGAAGCCCCAAACTTCCAAAATAACTGTTTTTGAAGCAGTGTATGCACATGGTGCTGCATCATATGTAGAGGTCATAAATCGGTTCAGGACTGACACAAGACAGTATCACTCTCTGCAGGGACTGTTTCTTCTCAAGGAGACATTTTTGCCCCACTGTCCACTGCATGCTCCGTGAATAACCCAAATAACACTTTTTTAGGTGTTCTTCATAATATGTAAACTTAAATATTGTTTCAGTACTCAGCCTGAGAAAATTGGTAGAAATCCAAATTAAGCAAACATTATGCATAGAATTTAATTTTTAAAATTACTCCAATTTGCTTTTGCTCTTTTTCAAAATTGTATCATTCCTTTTAATTTATGCAGCTCCGAGGTGCTTACCAAAAAATCATGAAGCAGTACTGCAATATGTTATAGGGAAAAGTCCATCTGCATTGACTATTTCACGTATGCTTCATAGACTTCTTGAAGAAAGTACATTCCCCAAAATAATTTTCCTGATTTACTTTGAGAACTGTGAGTTAAAAACCAGTTTTTTACTGTCTTGAACTTTCTGCTTCTGTTTCTAGGTTTAACAAGGATATTGAATTCATGATTGGACACAAGCCAAATATTTTCTGGCAGGTTACCTGGAGATTTATCAGTCCTCTCATTATGTTAGTTATCTTCTTCTTTTATTTTGTGGTGAAAGTCAATGAAGAACTGCTCTACAGCGTTTGGGACCCTAGCTATGTAAGTATATAAAACTAAAATACTTATTTAGAATTATTTTATGTATTCTTCTTTAATGCAAGAGTCATAGTCAGCTATATTCATCGCCCATCTGAAACAGTTTTCTGGTAAAAACTTACTATAACACATAAAGTAATAATAAAAAGTAACACTTGGAAAAATAAGTCCTAAATTTGGCTGTGATGCCTGCAATTGGTATATAGAGACACCTGAGAAGCTTTTCCGAAGTGGACAAAACCAGAACACTAGTCCAGTTGTCGGGCAAGACTGAAACAGTTCCCCAATAGGGGTTACAGAAGAGCTGGAAATGTCACAACCTTTCTGCGTTGACAAAGGACCAAATCTGTGAAACCATTTTGATATTGCATTTGTTTCTGTGTGCATTTAAAATCACAGAACTGCAGTAGTGCTGGTTACTCATCACTGACAGAAGAAATTAATATTAATTCATTTTAATCTCCCGATTCCTTCTTTCCTCTTCCAAATGTACATATATGATTCAAATTATAGTTGCAGCAAGAAGTTACCTGCTTTTCCTTTCCTCCCCTTGCAGAATAAAAAGCCTTATGTGGCACAGAGAAGGGCATATTAGAAAAAATGTGGGTCCCATCACTTTCGCCATCACCCCATCTCTTCCCCAGCTCTCTAGCTCTGTTTTTTGTTCTCTGGCCTTATACCAGTCACCATCCTTAAAGCAGAAATGGTCATACAGCACACTTAATTTGTAAAGACGATTTTTTGTTTTCATAAGACAGAAAGAGAGAGAAAGGAAGATGGGGAAATGGGATGGCTTGCTTCTCTCCTCCTTGACAATCTCACTTCCTTCTTAATGATGTTTCAGCCCTCCTGCCCGCTCTGATTTAGGCCTTCCCACCCAAAGGCTGTTTGGCCACCAAGCCCTGATGGCCTGTGAGCCCCCCGGCCCCGCACTCCTTTGTGCCCAGGAAGCGCGCCAGGAGCAGTCCCACCAGTCTCCCTTCCTGCCTCTTGCTTCTTTCACGCCATCTTCTTTCCATCGCTTTTAAGTAAAAAATAAGTCCAAAACCAGCTGAGACTGGAGACCCTTGAACTGGAAACTGCTGTGGAATTGGCAAATTATTGTGCCATTGTGGCTAGCTACTGTTCTGATTACATTTTTGATCTGTTGAATTATTGAATGTGTGCATGTTCCCAGGTATTTTCTCCTCACGACTTACTACAACTTGATTGTTTGCTTTTTCAGGCGGCGTTCCCCAAAACACAGAAGACTGAATATCCCAATTGGGTGTATGCTATTATTGTAGTGCTCGCTGGAGTGCCTAGTTTGGCCATCCCTGTTTTTGCCATCTACAAAGCCATCAGAAATTGCTATCAGAAAAAAAATGATCGTGCAGGCCTTATGATCTCGACATCTGAGACTTCTGTTAATGGAAACTTAAAGTATTCAGCATAAAACCATTTAAAAAATGTGGAAGAATGCTTTGTCAGTGAGAAAAGTAAAAATACTTTTTTTAGAGAATCCAGAGTTAATTTTATTTTCATAAAAGGATAACTATGTGTTGTTTCCAGGTAAACATTTGTTTGCTTAACAATGCAATGCACTGTGAAGAGTTAATGGCTTGGATCCTGGAAGCAAAACAGCAACATTTGCAAGTGGTCGGGGCACCAGGCCAAATAATTTGTCCTCCTTCTGGTTTTGAAGCCAAGTTCTTTGAAACTGGCTTGCAGTTCTCTGTTTGGGTATGCACGGCGCTTGACATGCCATAAGTGACTCTTCCATGTGCAATTATTCTGGTTGAGCGGCCGATAAGAAGGGTAACTTAATACTGACTTCTTTTGCACATTGAATTGTTTTTATTTTACTCGCCACCGTGTTGCACAAAGCCACCAATATTATTTGTCTCATGCAGAAGTTTAAATATTTAATAAAAATATTTCTAAGTATGAGAATGACAGTTTGAATCATTTATAAATCTGAATATTTTATTAATTGCCTATTACTTCCAAGTTCCCAGCAGGTAGCGCTGCGTTTGCTGATGACAGAAGAAGTAATCTTGCAATGGGGCAGCAGCAGCTCAGGAAATGGGAAAATCCACCTTCTCTGGCACCCATGAGCAAGGGGTGCACCACTTGCCTGGGAGGTCCATGCTGATGGGGGATCCAAGGCACCCAAGTGGTGCAAAGCTTCTTGCCCTCATCTGTGGCAATCAAGGTGGGTAGATCTAGTTCACGTCAGCACGGACACATGCACACGCTCACCTACCTTACAACTATCTCAAGCTTCTAACTTCCAGGCGACCCAGAGGAGCTCAGTCAGGAGTCCCATTCCTTATCACAGAATCACAGAAATCAGTTTGGTTGGAGGAGACCTCTGGGATCATCGAGTCCAAAATGTGGTCATTGGAGAGAGAAAGGGGCACCATTAGAGCACCCACCCAGGCTGAATGCCAGAAGCAGGCAATGTAAATGTCCCCTCTGGATAGGTGGTCCCTTTCATCCAACTGTCCCTGTACAGAGGCAACACATTTGTGTCACTTTGCAGCTCTTCCTACACTTTTAAGACAAGAGTTGATCCAATTTACACCCTGACACTCCCTTATAGTCAAAATACTCTCTTATGAGAAATAGGGATATTTACCGTATGTCTACTCTAGAGTGTATCTTTAGGGTAGTGTATCTGCTCTAAACAGAGAGTAAAGTACCAGGCATTGTATGTGTATTTGAATGATTAAATGAATTTGCATGGCAATTTTTTTTTTTTTAATTATTTGAATTTGAATAATTATTTAAACTATTTAAAGATGTTATTCTGAAATGGGAAAACCAATTTTTG